AGGAGGCCTTTGTTCACCCCCCGGAGCCGTGTGAGACACTTTTTTTTATGGATTTTTATTTAAGTTCTTTTGGACTGAAGCAATGCAACACCCGCTGAGTGGCATTAAACAGCTTGAAAGATCAACTCCGACTGGATTCGTCTGAAAGTAGAAAGTCATATACACCTAGGATGCCTCGGGGGTGAGTAAAACGCAGCCTAATTTTCATTTTTGGGTGAATTAACCTTTAAGTTTCTGAAGAGTAATCGGCGATGCGATCTCACATTTCACAAGATCCACTTAAGCTGTCACAAGCCGAGGGTGAATCTTAAGGCTTGCGTGCATGCTTAAACTGAATACTGCATCACACACCACACTCAAGGCCATCGCTTCAAATCGCCTGTCCAATTCAGCCAGAAATGACTCAGTCCACCACATTTTTATTAGCGGGTTTATTAAAAAAACTATGAATATTTGTTTACTTGCTAAAGCGGGAAAATAACGAAAAGAGAGTCCTCTCATGTCCTCTCAAGTTGAGAATCATTAGTGACTCACAAGGATATGGGGCTTAAATAATTAATTTAACCTTAGCCAAAAACATACTTATTCTAACCACTAAAATAATAAGATAATACAAATTAAATGAGAAAATGTGAATTCATTAATTTTTATATTTTATTCATAGCTCAGACAAAATCATTATTGGCTCTCGTCTGGGGGGGCAGTGCCCATTTTCAAAATTATGCGTTTTCAGTCCCCCAAAATGCCCTTGTTGTGTAAATGAATGACCAAAACTCATTAAAATGTTTTCCATTTTTAGTTGAAAACTGTATTTTTTAAATGTATTTTTATATGTATGTAAATGAGTATAAATCTAAAAATTTTTACTAATTCTTGGCAATGTAAAGCTTCTTTTTATTATAAGTTTGGACATGATGTAAGTCATTCCACTTGTTTAAGCTGTTTTCCCAGACTCACCAAGCTGCTCAGTTGTTACCGACCATCTCCCAGCTTAACCAGTTAATAAGATTTCAAATTTAAAACCCCTAAAACCAGTCAACATATCAGTCTAACCAGGCTGAGAGAACGGCTTAAGGCCTTTTAACACTGAACGCGAAAATTCGGTGCAATGACGCTTTTGAATCGAAACAATAGATCCCTATGGGGCTATTCACACCAGGCGCGATTGTTCGCGGCATGAAAAAGCGAGGACGATTTTTTTCCCGTCGCTCCGCAATGAAACTATGGGATTACATCTCTGCCGCAATTCTGTGCACGAAAGATCATATTTTGAGCGTGTAAAAGTGCATTTTGCACGTGCGCGAACTGAGTTTTGTGGAGAAAATGTTTGTCTCGCAAAGAAGAAAGTATTTTGAGCGCACGAAAATCAATTTTGCATTTAAAATAAGTTTTTTGATGTGTGCAGACCTTCTCTTTTGCGCGTGCAACATTTCACTAGCTTTATGTATATATATATAGGCTTTATAGACAGGTAAGTTGAGAGTGACTATTGGAGGACCAGCACCACATCCTCTTGTACCACTGTTTGAAGAATTTATCTTCCAGAATCTGGCAGTAAGTTTTGGGAGTTCATTTTTAGTCCATCTCGAGAAATTATCTGTAGAAGAAAGACTGCTTAATAATTATGCACACCTGAATATAAGGCATTCCCTTTCATGGGAACTTCGAACTGCGTCCTCTAGGGGTCGCTATGGGAACGCCTCGTCGTGACCCGTGTCTGAAGCATACATTGAAAAAACACCAACTCGTTGGCCGGCGACAGCCATGACGTCAGCAGACCCCATTAACATTTAAAGGAAAATGCTACAAAAACGGCTTGATCTGAAAAGAGCTGTTTTTGACAGGGTAAAAAAGGGTTTTACACTACCATTGAGAAATTTTAACCAAACTATGTTACAGACTTTTCATTAAGACCCTAAAGAATCATATCAACTTGTGGAAAATGGGCATCCTATGACCCCTTTAAGTATTTAGGGGTGTATTTGGAAGATGAAATATCCATTCAGAAAAATTGAGAAGGGGTTGTTGATAAGGTAGACTTGATAAATGGAAATGGCTAATACCAAATATGTCATACAAAGGAAGAATATTAATTGTGAATAATTTAGTAACTTTCAGTCTTTGGCATAGGTTGGCCTGTAAGGATCCTCCCTCAACTTATAGCAGAAATTCAAGGTATTTTGGTCAACTTTTTTGGAATAACTTGCATTGGGTCCCTAAGAGTGTGTTGCATTTAAGAAAAAAATCTACTGATGGACAGTCATGGAAGAGTAAACACCCCCAATTCAGAAGACTTTAACAATTGTTTTCCTTTCTTTACCTTGTTACCCATATTAGATGGTTGTACGGGACCTATTGTAGATGCTGAAAAACCCTTGTGCTTGGACTTGTCTATAGTACAGCTACTGGCAAAAGTAAAAAGAAAAAAAATTAAAGTTTTTAATAAAAAGGTACTGAATGATAAAGTTGACACACCTTGGCGTAAAGTATTGGGTGTAGAAAAGAATGTGAAACCTGAATGGAGGTCGCTGTATAAAGACACTGTTATCTAAAAGGGCAGGTGATATACAGTGGACACTACTTCACTGTGTCATTGCGGTTAATGCTTTTATTTCAGTTCTTAATCCTGAAGTCATTGCTGATTGGCCCTTCTGCTCAAAAAGAGAAACTGTTTTTCATGCTTTTATGCAATGTGACAGACTGAAACATTTATTCTTAATTTTCAATCCTGTCAGATTACTCAGATCACAGACCATTCATCTTCTACTGGTACCCAGATCTACAGTAGACTGCAATGCAGGGGTGATAGAGCTTTTGCAGTAGATCCAAGTTATGGAATAAATTGCCATTATCTATCAAAACAGCGACTACAGTGTCTAGTTTAAAAGTCTATTTGTATTATTGTGCTTTCAATGTCCTGTGAATGTCTATTTTAATTTGGGTGATGGACTTACAGTACATCATTTTGTACAGCACTTAAATGTGCTTTATAAATAAATTAAACTTGAAACTTGAGCTTGAATTTTGGAAGACTTTTTTTTACCTCCCTTAACGAATTGTTTTCTATGAGAATTTGTATTTTTGGTTTTAAATTTGGTAGAGGTAATAGGTTTACATGTCAGATTTTGAACTTTGCCATTTATATGAGCAGGAAAAGTAAGGTTGAAAGATTGTCTGGTGAAGATGTGGTGGTAATGGTTTTTAAATTTGGTGAAATCACGAGTGTTGATTGATTTTTGTTTCAAAGAAGTCTTCAAAGGATCTATTAACGTTTGAGATGAAATGGTGTGGTAATGGGGCATTGTGCTCAGTTGTTGAAGAGGAGTTATTTTTTACACATTTTATGTAATTTATTGTTATGTTTTTTTTAATGATTTCTTTGGTGCTTACGTAATGTAACATTGGAATTGTTGAAACAAGTTAAACAGCCAAGTATTTAATGAATAAAGTTTGTTTACTTTATAGGCTTCATTGTGCATGGTCCCTCTGCTCCTCTGGTTGCTCCTCTGGGATCTTCAGTGGTTTTGCCCTGTTATGTTGATGAACGCTTACTAATGGAGGATCTGGAGGTGGAATGGAGAAGAACAGACTCAGAGACTCTGGTTCATCTGTATCAAGATGGTGAGAGTCGACCAGAGGTCCAGCAGCAGGATTATCATGATAGAGCTCAATTCTTTACTGATCAGATTCAACATGGAAACTTCTCCCTCCGTCTGGACAATCTGACAGCTGAAGATGAGGGACGATACACATGTAGATTTTACAGTCAGCAAGATTCTGGTGAAACTGTGGTTCAGATAAAAGATGTTGGTGAGTGTGAGGCTTAAATTCTGGTGAAAATTTCAATGAAATTACATGATATATACTCTATGGAATTTAACCAATCTTATTCTTTCAGAGCGTTTGCTAGTATCAGGCTCAGATGAGTCCATATCTGCATCTGTGGGTGAGGACGTCACTCTGAACTGCTCTGTAGACTCTCACATCACACCTGAACACATTGAAGAGGTTTTATGGAGGAAAACAGATGAAGATATTCTGGTTCTGCTCTACCAAAACAATGAGACTTTTCCAGAGGTAGCATATGAGCAATACCGCGACAGAGTTGAGTTCTTCACTGCTGAAATCCCCAAAGGAAACTTCTCTCTCAGACTGAAGAGTGTCAGAACTGAGGATAAAGGAGTTTACATGTGTTTAGTGTTTGCTGGAGATCTTTCAGCCAATGCAACAGCAGAACTGGAGAGACTGGGTGAGTAACAGATATATGATGAACCTATCATACTATTATATTTTTAATTAGTAGTAATATTTTTTCAATTTAATTTCCAAAGCACCTCAACAAGCATCTTACCTTACAACCCCTAGTAAATTAACTAAAAAGCCTATCCTTCTTTTTCCTTAAATACATTTTCACACTTGCATGAAAAATAGAGATAAATATTTAACTATAATTACTTAAGCAGAATTGAATTGTGCTTTGAGATCAAAAGTTTGTGTTTTGAGATCAAAAGTAAAAGTAGCAGTGGCATGTTGTTGCCTAAAGTAAAGTCTAATATAAAGAAACAGTAACTGGATATTCTTCAGGTTTATCAGACAGATTATTTTGTCCCTTAAGTAGATGCATGTCATTTCCTGTGATTAACATTCATGCTCGCGATGTGAACATTTGACAAAATGTCACAAAATTAGTAGAAATGCAATTTTTTAAGGGCAATATACTAGGTATGTTATACAATACTGTTCCTCTTTTTTTCAGTAACTGTTTGTGTTTCACAGGTTTCTCTGTTTCAAGCATAATGGTATTGCTTCTCTGTATTTCTGCATCTGGATCTGCTCTTCTGCTCTGCTGTCTGATCTACAGTAGGTCACCTACTAAAGGTTTGTATATAACAGGAAAATATTCTTATCAGCTGCAATTCAGTGGTTATCAACTGCAGGTTTGCAACCCAAAACTATTTAGACTATTATTCAATCTAAAATAATAATAGCCAAATAATAATGAAACCTACCATAATTGTAGATAATTGTAGCATAATTTAAATTTAAAAAGCAAATTTAATCAAAATATGATATTTTGGCATAATTCATCTTTCACTCTGTGATGTTTTATAAAACAGTTCAGTGTTTTAGGCTGGTAAACATAGGTGGAGTTTCACTTTTATGCTTGGGGAGGCACCCACTAGCAGACGAGCCACGAACACTTTTTTTATATGTTCTACATTTCATATATTTATATAACATATATTCGACATTAAAAAATACATTAAAGGGGTCATATGATGCTTTTTTAAAGATCATTATTTTGTGTATTTGGTGTAACAGAATATGTTGACATGCTTTAATGTTCAAAAAACACATTATTTTTCAAATACTGTACATTATTGTAGGTCCTCTATTCCATTGCACAAGATATACCTGCAATCCGAGTTGTGTACAGGATTGGTGCAGGTCGGTGTACGTGAAGATTTCCTTTTGGGGAATGATTTAGTTGGCGGAAACGTTTTCCCTGTGTTGGAGATGCTTGATAGGCCCGTGTTGTCTGATCAACCAGGGTTAACAGAATCAAATACAGGAATTTTCCCTGCATGCGCAGTTACGCGGGCTCAAGCTCGCCAAAAGGATGCCTTTTTTGATTTGGTTTCTACTTTTGTCTCGCCTATCTTTACTGCTGAGGAGGATATCCCAGAATTTGATTTGAGTAAGCCAGTTGAAAATTTAGACTCTTCGAATTCAAATTGTCTAAAGCTACCAGTGTCCCGAGAGAAAATAATCTCTGCCCAACAAAATGACGGGACTTTGCGAAATTGTTTTTCGGTAGTGGTTCCTTTAGAGGAGGCACGGAAACGAAAATGTGCGTATTTTGTTGAGAACGGACTTTTGATGCGTAAGTGGTGTGCAGACACGGCAGATACCACTGAGTGGAATGTGGTTTATCAGATCGTTATTCCTTCCGGTTATAGACAGCAAGTCTTATCGTTAGCTCACGATCATGATCTGTCAGGACATACTGGAATTAGAAAGACTTACAATCGAATTTTGAGACACTTTTTTTGGCCACGTCTTAAAACGGATGTTGCTCGCTTTTGTCGTACTTGCTCCACATGTCAGACGGCTGGAAAGCCGAACCAGGTGATTCCTCCTGCTCCACTTATTCCTATTCCAACTATGGGGGAACCGTTTGAACATGTAATTGTAGATTGTGTTTCGTTGCCCAGAACGAAATTAGGGTTCGAAATTTTGCTGACAATCATGTGTGGCGCTACGCGTTTCCCCGAAGCTATTCCGCTAAGGAAAATCACAGCGCCTTTTATTATTCGGGCACTGGTGAAATTCTTTTCTATGTTTGGACTGCCTAAGGTAATACAGACTGATCAGGGCACGAATTTTCTCTCTAAAATCTTCACACAGGTATTGTCGACATTAAACATTTCCCATCGGGTTGCCAGCCCATACCATCCAGAGAGTCAAGGCGCACTTGAGCGATTTCATCAGACCTTAAAAGCGATGCTAAGAAAGTACTGTTTAGATACAGGCAATGACTGGGATGAGGGAATACCTTTACTTCTATTTGCTGCCCGGGAGGCGAAACAAGAGAGTCTGGGGTTTAGTCCTCTTTACTTCTGCTGCCCGGGAGGCGAAAAAAGAGAGTCTGGGGTTTAGTCCTGCGGAGTTGGTGTTTGGGCAAACGGTAAGGGGACCGCTGAAAGTGCTCAAAGAGAAGATCTTAAGTTTTGATTCCACCCCCAAAATGAATGTGCTGGAGTAT